ATTGTCCTGCACTGTTAGAAATGTACACTCTGGTTTAGTGAAAAGGGGGTGTGACCCCTTGCCTCCGATTATGCTAGTCTGCAATAGAGAAAGTAAGACATACAGAGACACCTTCTGCTCTTTCCAAGACAGAAGACGCAGAGTGGAATGTCAAAGAACCGAACAGCAAGGAATAGCACCGTTATTAATATGTGACTTCTAGCAGCAACAGCAGATCTGTAGCACACAACAGAATGAAATAAACAAAAGGTACTTCTAAGTGGCAGTCTAAAAACCTGCAAATCTAAGGGCTTTCCCAGACAGAACAAATGTTCTCCAAAAGGCACCCAATTCATCACTGATTACAGTAGATTTTTTTTCCTACCCTCCAAACGATGTTAGGCTTAACTCAGTATTTTTAGTGATAAAAATCTGAGACTTTGTGAACTAGATTATCTCCTCCTGAAGACTTGGCTTATTTTACTTTGGGTTGTTTTTTTTGGATGACAGGGAACTGATTTTTTTTAACTACTGTTTAAGACTGGTTTCAAATCCATTCTTTCTGTCCTTCCTTCCTTCCCTCCCGAGTGACACTAGAGAGCCAAACAGGCCCCTCACCCTGTCTCCCTGCAGTTCTTCCCAGCCACACAGCACTGGTAAAAAGTGTATGCCTGCCAGCATGAGGGTGCCGCTGAGCTTATGAAGAAGCTGCTGCCACAGCCACCACAACCACCAGCCACTTTTCACTCTTGCACAGCATCCTAAGCTAGCCTGCTGCACTACGCATTCTCTGCCTTGACTCAGACAGCTTAACCACAATAGGGGCACTGATAAAAAATCGCCATGCTCAGAGACTGGTTGAATAATGCAAGGAGAAATAGTTATGGCTAGACTCTGTTCAGGGGAGTCTGCAACTAGTCCATCAACTTATGCCTATGAAAGCTGCAGGTTGTAACAGCATCTTTGAACTGACTTTGGAGGAGAAGTGTAACCCCAGCCAGAGCAGATGAAACACCAGCTGTGTAGTCAAACACACCAGCCACTGGGTGGCATCTCTGTCTTGTCTGAGTTGAAACTTAAGTCAGGTAAGTGAGCATGAAGGAAATTCCAGGCCACATTGTCCTCCTCCTCCACACGGATCATCTGCCAGCGCAAGATTACATCAACTGAAATGTAGGCACCCAGAGACACCAAAATTACAGAGAGGCTTCTACTGGTACTCCTCTCCAATCCCTCCAAGTTTGGTGAAGGTTGGGTGTCAGTTTGAACTGACTTTGGAGGAGAAGTGTAACCCCAGCCAGAGCAGATGAAATCCCAGCTGTGTAGTCAAACACACTAGCCACTGGGTGGCATCTCTCTCTTGTCTGAGTTGAGACTTAAGTCAGGTAAATGCACATGAAGGACATTCCAGGCCACATTGTCCTCCCCCCCCCCACGGATCATCTGCCAGTGCAAGATTACATCAACTGAAATGTAGGCACCCAGAGACACCAAAATCACAGAGAGGCTTTTACTGGTGCTCCTCTCCAATCCCTCCAAATTTGGTGAAGGTTGGGTGTCAGACATCCAAGCGATACACCCACAAAATGGGTCCCCCTCCTAGGAAAGTGCCCTTTAACAGCTGGCTTGAGGAAACCCAATCTTCACCAAACTTGGAAAGTTTGTAGAGGAGAGTCTGAGGAAGTTTACCTGCAATTTTTATGTCTCCAGGTGCCTTGGGTGGCATGGATAAAAAAAGTGCTAAAAATTCATTGATTTGTAGGGCAGAGGTAGGCAGAGGCAGTCAACCCCCGGTCCGCGGCCTGGTGCCGGTCTGTGGTCTGAGCCAGACCGGGCCGTGAAGACAGAACTCCCGGCCCCCTCTGCATGCACTCCCCTCCCCACAGCTGCTTTGCGTACGTGTGTGCATGCCAGCACTGGTGTGAGCGCTTCCCCACCCCTTCATGCATACGCCCGAGTGCCCAAGTGCCCACGTGAAGGGGTGAGCACATGCGCTACACCCACAAAATGGGTCCCCCTCCTAGGAAAGTGCCCTTTAACAGCTGGCTTGAGGAAACCCAATCTTCACCAAACTTGGAAAGTTTGTAGAGGAGAGTCTGAGGAAGTTTACCTGCAATTTTTGTGTCTCCAGGTGCCTTGGGTGCCATGGATAAAAAACTGCTACAAATTCATTGATTTGTAGGGCAGAGGTAGGCAGAGGCAGTCAACCCCCGGTCCGCGGCCTGGTGCCGGTCTGTGGTCTGAGCCAGACCGGGCCGTGAAGACAGAACTCCCGGCCCCCTCTGCATGCACTCCCCTCCCCACAGCTGCTTTGCGTACGTGTGTGCATGCCAGCACTGGTGTGAGCGCTTCCCCACACTTTCATGCATACGCCCGAGTGCCCAAGCGCCCACGTGAAGGGGTGAGCACATGCTTGGGCATGCAGACACCCTGCACATGCGCGAAGGGGTGGGGGAGTACTCATGCCGGCGCCGGCAAGCCAGTGGGTGCTCCCTCACCACATTTCGCATGTGCCCGAGAGCATGCACGCACCTGCAGGGGGGCGCCTTCCTTGTAGGACCACTGTTTTAGGGGCATTGATTTGTATGAAAGTGATTAGCTGAATTAGCCATTTTCAAGTGAATTTGGTTATTCATTTTCTAATTTCTGCTCATCTGTACTCCATATCTTGCTGGATTGTAATTTTCACCGACTCTTCCCTGTGACTATGATGGTGAGGGCTGAAGCTAGCTGCAGCCCTGCGCGAAGGGGTGGGGGAGTGCTCATGCCAGCACTGGCAAGCCAGTGGGTGCTCCCCCACCACTTTGCGCATGCGCCCGAGAGCACACACGCACCTGCAGGGGGACATTGATTTGTATGAAAGTGATTAGCTGAATTAGCAATTTTCAAGTGAATTTGGTTATTCATTTTCTAATTTCTGCTCATCTCTACTCCATATCTTGCTGTGACTATGATGGTGAGGGCTGAAGCCAGCTGCAGCTCCAAAGTATCGGAAGGGCCACACATTGCTTAGTCCCTGAGCTAGATTGTAAAGAAATGAGAGGATGAGAAAAAGCTGGAGGTGGTGAAGTTATGAAGTCTTACATGTACAGAGCCTTAAGCTGAAATATCGGAAGTGCATTTCACACATTGACATTAGGTTCGATCAGATACAGTGGGGTCTTGACTTGAGAACTTAATCCGTATTGGAAGGCGGTTCTCAAGTCAAAAAGTCTGTAAGTCAAGTCTCCATTGACCTACAGTGCATTGAAAACCGATTAATCCCGTAACAGGCTGTTTTTGTTCCATTTTGGTTTTTTTCTGGTCTGTAAGTAAAATCTCAGTCTGCAAGTCAAACCTAAATTTTGTGGCCAGAGAAGTCTGTAACTCAAAAAGTCTGTAAGTCAAGGCGTCTGTAAGTCAAGGGTCCACTGTACTGTGATGTTCTCTGTTGTTCCTGCTTCTGCCTAGGAGAAAGAAATGTACAAGCCAGCAGAGTCCTTTGGGCCGGTAGATAGAACGTAAACAAAAGAAATTAGAGTCACACATTGACATTAGGTTCGATCAGATACTGTGATGTTCTCTGTTGTTCCTGCCTCTGCCTAGGAGAAAGAAATGTAAAAGCCAGCAGAGTCCTTTGGGCCAGTAGATAAAATGTAAACAAAAGTAATTAGAGCAAGGATGCCAACCAAACAGATCACTTAAGAACATTGCCTTAAGGTTCTGTTCCCAAATATTTAACAGGAATGTGCATTCATTTCATAAGGAAAGAAAAGTGGAGTCCAAGGGGCCCATGCTCAAGCAGATCAACATTCTTTGGTTATGAGTCAGATGCTTGGGGTAACAAACACATCCATTTTTCTTTATCCCATTCATGAAAAATGGTGGGTGAGGCACTACCACCATTATTTAATAATATTATCACTTTGAATGGGTGCCCAGTACGGTGTGCAGTGGATAAAGTGGAAGACTAGAACTCTGGAGTATGGGGTTCAAATCCCCAATTAGCCATCGAAATTTATTGAGAGAAGTGGGACTGGTAAAACCACTCCTTAAATATCTCACTTACCTTGAAAGCCTTATTAGGGCTGATAGAAGTTGGTTCTTCTGACTTGACACCACATAACCAAATACCTAACTAAACCACTTGGAATCCAGATCATGAATAAGTTGCTTTTTTAAACTACAACTCCCAGAATCCCCAAACCAGCATGGCCAAATTCTTTTTAATTACCATCATCTGAGAACTGCAGAGCTGGAAGAGACACTATGAATCATCAAGCCCAGCCCCATCAAAAACGCACAGTGGGGACTTCTTGTCTTCATCTTACTGGAGGATGGACGTCATAATGACTATTCTGATCTTGATGTATCTGCTTTATTTTATTTATACGTTTTATTTCAAATATTTACACTGCACCTTTCTCCTAAAAAAAGGATTCAAGGCAGCCGACAATATTTTAAAAATAAACAATGATATCCTTCTGGCCCTTCTTTTCTCATTTATTTTACCCTGAATGATCAGCTAGATTAGTGTTTCTTTTTGTGAAAGAGAAAAGGGCTCACAAGATACTTTATTGGGGGAAAAACAAGAGAAATGGTTAAAATCTGAAAGAAAAATGGAAATCAATGCTTGCTGGAGACAATGTACAGATCTAATTGTTCTGGCTGAGTAAAACACAGGAGACAAGGTGAGTGGTTACTGGATAATGGCATTGGTCTTGGGGGGGGAATGTTTTCTCGGAGATATAGTGCTCCTTAATCTTGAGATGTTCCCACTTTTAGCATCTTCATTATGGGAAGAGAGAAGTGACTGTGCAAAAGAGCTTGTCACAGAAGATACAACATGTGGAAGTCATCTTTGGAATTTTCTGGAACAACACAGATTTCTGAAAGGAATCCAGCAGTGGACCAGAGCATGTGATATATTTGGAGAAAGCTGATGGAGAAAGTGAATTTGAGAGGGGAATTGCTGAAAGGCAGAATTCTTAAGTCCTTTTCATGCTAAACAAAACGTTTATTCAACTGCTCAATCCAAAGGTTCAGTTAGACTTCCAGTGGACCTTCTGGCAGGCCACAGAAAGTGAAATCAAACCCTGGGCTGTATAATAGGTGGTCATGATCAAGAGGCGAGCGTGAGGTAGGGAGGAGCAGAACTTACTGATTCCCACAAGGAGATCAGACACAAGGAAGAAGAGGCTGCCAACAGAAGTGCTGAGGTGATGTTCTGGCCTGGACAAAGCACACCAGACCATGATGCCAATTAAGCCTGTGTAGGCCGCAGTGGCCCATATATAGATGCCTTCAAGACAGGGTAGCAAGAAGATAATGTAAGACGTGGTCACAAAAATTGCCATAAGGATGAAGGTGAAGGGCCGAAAGGGAGACCAGCCAAATGCAGCGATGTAGGAGACATGACACAAAGCAAAGGCAGCCAGTCCTGCAAACAGAAGAAAGAACACAATAGAGAAATAAAATAAATAACATTATTAAGAGGCCTTCCATTCTAAGACCCAATAAATAAGATCATTAATGGCTGACTGACAAGATATAGCTTCCTGAAGAGTAATGGCTCCTAAGAGCTATTCTATCTCACCCTGTAATGTGTTAATTTCTGTGTTAGACCCATTAGGACAGAAGAAATAACTTAGACCAAGTACACATTGTATTTAATTTTTTTTTGTATTGTTATCTGATGCACACCCATGAGTGCCTCACATTTCAGAGTCATCTTTAGTCCAGGTTTACTCTAAAAGCCAATACAATACATTGGTTAGAGTTCTCTGTTGTACACCACCCAGTGTGGCCCCAGATCAAATGGCACAGTATAAAACTGTAAAAAATAAATTAATAAATGCAGCCCCTCCACATCCACTCCCCACCAGCAGCCCAACACCCTATTAAAAATTAAACCTTTAAACAAAACCAAACATTTTATCCTTTGGGGGTGTGCAAACAATTTTGATTGGCCCCCAGCCCCTTTTCTTCCCATCACTATGTTCTTTTCCAATTGGCCCCCAAGAAGGATGGAAGAGGGTTTTTTTCCCCAGTAAACTATCCTCATTTTTTAATAAAGGGTTTGGGGTGGGATGGGGGTGGCAAGAGTGAGTACAATCATTCAAGGTACAAGGATAGATATACATAATTCCCAGATCTCTGGAGATTGCCCACCTCTATTCTAGAGGGAGCAGCAATATGAGCTGCAGGAATTGTAAGGGTAAGAAAATGACTCTGTTACCTCAGGGTTGGAGGGTTCTAGAACTGTGGGTTGGTGTTTTTTTTCCTCTCTTTCACATCATCAACCACTTTTTTACTTTAGCTTTCTTTAAATAACTTTCACACCGCTTAAATTTGGAACAGCACATTTTGTGTATAAAAAAAACAAGTCCAGCAGTTTCTGGGAACAGCTCTACCAATTCTGGTTGTTCAGGTAGGGCGGGTGGCAGATCTACTAGGATAAGGAGACATGATCTGTCAGAAATCTATGCCAGGTTTACTTTTCTGTTGCTTCTCAATGAGTAGATGCATTTTATATGCCCCCCCATGGGAGAACATTCACTGGGTTTTCCTTTGAAATCCAAGTGATTTAATTTGACCCCCAAACTACCACATCTTAATGAGTAGATGCATTTTATATGCCCCCCCCATGGGAGAACATTTGCTGGGTTTTCCTTTGAAATCCAATTGATTTAATATGACCCCCAAACCACCATATC